GGCGGCAAGGGACGGCCCGCCCCAGGCCCTGCTGCCTCCCGCGCCCACCGCGCGGCCGGCGACGGGAGGCGACTCCTCGCCGTGCGGGCGCCCTCGGGCAAACCGGACCGCGGCATGGCGAGGGTCTCCCCCCAAGGCCGCATTTCGGACCCGAGCCCCAGCTCTGGGCCGTTTCGAGCCCCGCCTCGGACTTGCCTCCCCGCCCCTTCCCGCCGGGCGAGTCGGTCCGGCGCCGTCCTCGCCCCGGGCGGAGCGCCGGGTCCAGAGCGGGACGCGGCCCCGCCCGCGAGGCTTCCCCGGCGCTCAGAGGCTCCTTTCTCCTCGCCCGCCCCCGGGCTCCGCGCTAGTCCGCTTCGGTTGTTGACCTCCGGGGTCCTGCCTGCCCGCCCTCCCCCACGCGCTCCCCTGACCCCGGCGGCCCCGCCGCGTTTTTCCGCCCCGCGGTTCTCAGCCCGCGGAGCCCCCTCCCCCTCCCGCGCGCTCCCGCAGGGGCGCCTCCCCTTAGGTCTCTCCCCGTCCATCACCAGTGGAGTTTTTTTATTTTTATTTTTTTAAAAGTTTAGGTGCCTTTGCGGATGACCTCATTTTGATGTTGGGAAAAATGATTTTTTAATATGTGAACACTGCAAAAAAATGTGTTTAAATTATCTTTTTTAAAACCTATTCAGGATTATTAGCCTGGACTTGGACACAGAGTTTGTAAATAAAGGTGTCTGTGCGGATTCTCCCACTGATTTATTTGTATAAAAGTACCCATCTTTTCAGATTTTTTTGTAAACCCCCCAGTTGTGAAAACTGCGGTTCAGCATTGACCTCAGCGATCCCTCCGTTTTATTTTTTTCCTTTGAAAAAAATTTGTCAGTTAAATTAAGCTACTGATTTGGATTTGTTTTATTTTATCCTAAAGTCTCTGTTGTTGAAATGAAAGGTATTTTGGGGTTATTTATTATGAAAACAACATGCTCTTAATGTTGATTTTACAATATGAAGAGATTATTTAAATAAATTATTGTTTTCATCGGATGTGTGCGCTTTTTCCTTGGTGCCAGGGTTCGCTCGGTCACGTGCTCAGAGCTCCCAGGCCGGGAAGCTGGTCACCGAGAGCGACATTTACATCTCGCAGAGGCTGCGACGCCCCGAGGTGCGGCAAAGCGAGGACAGCCGCGCTTGGCGAGGTCGCCGCCGAGGTTCACGCTCCGCCCCCGCCCGAGTCCCCGCGCGGGTTCGCCAGCCGGCAGCGCGGTGACTCAGCGCAGAGTCGCTCTGGCCTCCGCCTGGCCC